GTTGCCTGTCTGGAAGTACTGTCGGCGCTGCAACACCTTGACCATCGCATCCAAGGCCAGTCCCCACTCGATCGCGGTCGCAACCAGGCGGATCCTCGACAGGGCGATCCAACATGATGGCATGAGGATGTGTCCATGCTTTTGCCACGGGCCACTTTGGTTCATGTCCCTCGATTGTGAACAGCGTGCGACGGCATTGCGCGGAGATGACCGCGTCGTGGCATCCATCACAGCGCAACGAGAGAACGACGTCCGTCGCGCGATGGGGACGTATCGGAACGCATGGCTCGACCGACGTGCGATTGCATGACCGAGCGCTGTGATCCGGCAGTCGTTTGGTTCATCAAATGGGGAAGACGTGACCATTCCTCTTATCGCTCCGAGGGCCACCTAGCGCCCACGAAATGTCGAATCCATGGGCGAGTAAGTAAATTGCTGGTACCGACAGTACCAGTTTTGGCTGGCGTGGCACGACCAGACATGAGGCGACGTGCCAGTGTCGGTGGCCATGTCGAGGCAAAACCCGGTATGGGCGACGTGGCGCAACTGGCGGGGAGTCCCATGCCCAGAGTTGGTTTCGATTGGTCGCGTCGCATGGCCACAAGTGGACTGCCCCGCCGTTCCATGGCTGGTACGCGTCAAGGTAGAGTCCACTCGTTCCCCACTCGATCGTTTGGTGCACGTGGTGGAATGTCCACGCGTGGCCGTTCGGTTGGAATGCGACCCGCCTCGTGGCAAGCACCGCTGTCAGCTGTCGACCGTGAAATGTACTCAACGTGGCGGATTCGATGACCAAGTCGAGCCACTGGTTCAAGTTGATCGAGTGGCACCACCACACGTGCACGGTGGAACCGTCCACGTCCAGGCACACGTTGGCGTGGGTTGCGTGGCGTACGTGGTGCTCGGCCATGTCGAGGATCCATTGCTGGTTGGCATTAGTCGATGAACACGGCCACAAGTGAACAGAATACTGCGACAGAGACGACGCGCTTGGATACGCGTCGACGCATCCTGCGGACCCTGAAGACAGCAACTGCGTCGTTGGGTCGTAGGTAAAAGGGGCCTCGGGCTTGGTCTCCGCGACGGTCAACGTGCCGTTCCATGGCGTAATGACTTTGTTCGGGCGAGTGACCAGTGTCACCGCGACCGGCGGAGGAGGCGCTGCGACATTGTTGTACTTGGAGCGTGGGTAGCTCAAATTGTTTGGGCCAAACACGAACGCCGACATGCTGAGTGTGTCGACGGGCGTGGGGACGAGGCCTCGGGCGCCGCTGCGGTCGCCCGACGCTTCCCAAAACATGATCCCACCCAGTTGATTCGCTTCAACATAGGTGGCTTTGGCAGCGATGCTGCGTGGGCTGTCGTACACGATGAGCTGACGAGTAGTCGCGCTGTACACAAACGCACTCTGCGTCGGGTCGTCGAACCGTTCGTCGCCGATGGGAATCGCGTTGTACTGCACCGGCATTCGTGAATGGCGAGTAGATGCCGCTGGTCTGGTTGAACACGCGGCCGTAGATTGGGGCGCCGACCACGAGTTTGGACGGCGGGCAATTGTTTTCGACGAAAACTTGACTGTACGGTCGACAGAGAGCTGGGCTGCTGGCGGGGCGGTTGGGTTTGCGTCCAAGTTGCTGTGGTATCCAGCCACGGGACTCCAATCCCCCATGAAATCGTACGTACAGCATGCATGGTTCGGGATCAAGCGAACGAGGCGGATGCGCCTTACGTCATGAGGTTGATGCTGTCAACGGTGCTGTAGATGGAAGACATGTACGGAATCCAAGCCGAGACGTCGTACCCTGGCGCTGCGATCGTGAGCTCGGTTGAATACGGCAACGCAGCTAACGCAGCCTTGAGCTGTCGCAACAGCGCAACAAAGTTGGCCATGTCCGATGCGGCAGGAAACTCCCAATCCAAGTCGATGTGGTCCAACCCCAAGTCTTCCACCAACTGGATCGTGGCAGCGACAAACGTGTCTCGGAGTGTCGGTGACGCAGCAATTGTGGATAGCGCGCCGCTTCCAGTGTACCCGGCAATGGACAACCCGACTTTCGTGGCGCGGTTCAACCTCTTAAGCGAGTTGGCTAGCCCCAAGTGGCCTTGCAGTTGTCCCGTCACGGAAGGATTCGGCTTTCCAAGCGAAGCCATCGGGTCCAGCAACGCCAGCGTCCCGTTCATATTAGGGAATGGCAAACGCATAGTTGAGGTGCGTGATGGACGTCCAGGCAACTTGGGTCATATCGAAGGAAGTTGTTGAGATTCGATGACGTCAACATTGAACGGTCAAGACCGAATCAACCCTGCCTGACGAAGAGACGAAGGAGTTCAATGACGGCATTGAACCAAGAGACGACAAGACATTGAAGGAACAGTAGAAGAGGAGATCAATTAGCAGACATAACTCCTCTAATCACTTTTGTTTTCGCCTTCTTGGACTTTGGTC